TGAAATTTTGTACAGCCATCGAGCTCGCTCTTAAGTCCCTTACGGATTTAATGACATTTTCCATTCTCTTGGATTGGATTGGCTCAGTATTATCTGTTCGACAAAATATAGTACTTTTATGTTTCTGTTCTAAAGGTAGATACATTGAGTCTTCAAAAAATGCGCTTATTAGAATAAGAAATTTAATTTTTACAACTAAGTAGGTATAAAGCGAATAAGCTCCGGATAATTTCAGTCAACAGTTTTAATATTTCCATCTTGTTTGCAAGAATTTTCGTAAATAATGTCTCTCTCGATGTTTTGTGAGAGACGCGTGTTACTTTCGGTAACAACCATATGAATGAAACTTGAGCAACCCGTCAGTATGCCTTAGTTAATGGTTTACGCTAATAATAGGCGGTGGAATTTAACTTTCCGTCTACTCTAAATCAATTTGTTAATATCGAGATCAGTTGTAGGCCTAACAAAGATCACCTAATTTTTATCTATTTCTGATATACAGGAATAACGACGTTCAATTTACTAGCGTCGAACTGAAACAGGTTCATCTGCTACAAAGTTTCCAAGGCATTCGGTATTGAGCTCGCTTTCTGCTCGAATTTCGAAGGCTGCTGAAAACCTTTAGGGAACCAGTCCACTGATGTGTCTTCTTTCAAAGGATAGGTAGGGACATTGGATGTCCCCACCATGTTTGAGTGCGTGTTAGTTGCTCAGATTGAACATATGGCAAGTAATCACCAAGTATCTGTGAGAGCTGAGGATATGGAGGTGGACACTTCAGATTACTTAGTCGGGGGTCGGTAGTATGTAGACGGTAAAGAAGTTGGTTCTTTCAGTTAAATCTCAGTTATACCGCTTTTAACCGTCACTTTTTTATCTGTACTTACTAGATTGAATTGAGAACACTCGTGTCTTCAAGAAACAAGAGCATTGTGGTGACTGCATTTCACTGTACAGTATTCGTAATATAGCTTATAAATACACCCGTGGGCAACCTAAACTGCTGTATTCCTTCCTCTGTAGTTGTGGTGGTGTTAAGGGCAGTTGGGCGATAATGCTAGGTATCCTGGGCTAAAGAGTTATTGGGTGGTGTAACTGAAGCTCACGTCCAGAAAGAAAAATGCCGCACAATTATTATGAGAGTTATTTCGAATTAATATCGATCAAAAACGAGCTTGAAGTCGTTCAGAAGGCCCAACTAACCGGTTTCGTATAAATCTGTAACAATAATCGCTAGCATGCTGAATGCATGGCCGTCATGATTCTAGCAACAGGCACTAAAATTACATGTCCTCCATCATCATGGCATGAAGATTCAGCTCAAAAGGAGAAACGGTTATAATCATATCACCCCTCACACTTAAAAGCCATATGTAGCTGATAATGAGGGACGAATAACATCCAGATGGCAACACTGAAGTCCTAATGGATAATCTGAACTCCAAACCAGAATCCAGCAACATGGGAAAATGTTTCACGATGAGTCTATGGGCACTGGGTGAGACGGATGAGAATGGAAAGCTCTTTGCAGACTTGTACACCCCTATTGGTTTGGTGACGGAGGTCAGTGTATACAAACATGTGATGACATGTGGTTCACCAAATAGACGCTTCAAAAGTCACATAGAATGCATGAAGTTCTTCAGATGCTGACAGGTAGCGCACAATGCATAAGATCGAGATAAGGGGCAGAGGTATGTTGAATTCGTTATAGATAGCATGAACCCCGGAAATCAAGTTGAAAGCCTTCAAAGAAGCATCGGAAGAATAGGGATTCCTTCGCAAAACCCATAAAATGAAGAATGAGACTACAAAAGATATTTTCATTTCAGCTCTGAGGAGAAACTAGGAGTCAGTAAAAAACGTCTTCAAGTGAATCTGTATAAAACAATGAAGGGACTCTCCGAAAGCTGAATGTACATACAACGTATAAATGAGGAAAAGGCAGGGCATGGAATACTTCACGATAGATACGTGAGCTTGACTGAGGACTGAAGGATGGTAAAGGATAATTGAAAACGATGGTAGGTGAGTACAACCTATTGGGTGATAAACAAAAGAATTTAAAAAATTTCCAAAAAGAGCAGGAGGATGGAGAGTTTCAATCACACAGTGATGGGCAACCACATGCAGCTCAGAGCAACAGAGGGTGATAGATGTGTTCAGGAAGCCATTTGCAGTCAGTAATGGACGACACCACGGCCAGATAGAGGAGGTATTTACGTAAACAAATTTCGGTGTTTTTACGACACCACGGTGTGCAGCGGAACAGGTTACGTATGGCAGACGCCTTTAAATACTATTTCAAACAATCAGGTCACCATCCCGGAAGAGATCACCCAAAATTAGTACAGAACTAATAATAAACCTCACACAAACAGAAGTTCTTAATGTCACGGAAGTACAGCAGGAAATGACGGAATCCCAGCAGAAGTACTGCAAACGCACTCGGAGGCTTTACTGGGATGCTCACTCCAATTCTAAGGAATTTGTGTAAGAAAGAGAAGATAGGTTACTGAGGAAAGTAAAAAGTGACTTCATTCAACCACCATGGAGGAGACACTTAAGCCGTTGCGAGAATTCGTTTATTATCATGCTTCTTTTTACAGTAGGGAAAATATTTAGCCTAATGATTCTGGCAGACTGAAAGATGTCGCCGATGCCTAACTTCCCCTCGGCCTGAGGCCGGGCGATTTCAGGAACTGCATCTTCAGATTAAAATGCGACTTTCTGCAACATCATCAGAAAGAGCAAATAATGGCAGTCGTCTTTTCATTTTAACTACATTGACTTTAAAGAGGCTTCTGATAGCGACCACCACGAAGTTATTTTGAAGTGCTTGGACCTTAAGAAGTTCAGCAGCGCAGGTGTAGTATAAGTGTAAAACTCATTCGGCGACTGTGCGATGATGCCGCCTCCTAAATGTTTCCAAAACGGAAAAGTTACGCAGCATTTTGTAAGTGCACCAGCCCAAAGACATTCAACCCACGGATCGTGAGGTCGTTGCTATTCTGGAAGACCAACTGACGCAACTCATAATATTTTTTTGATTATAGCTTGAAACCACACAGTATTTTTGGTAGAAGTATGGAATTTTCAGCACGTGATATCGGTGGCCCAAATTTTGTAGGCCGACCACTGATATCAGGTGTACGCCGGCAAGGGATCGAACCCCTGATCATGTACATGGTCGGCGAGATTCCTAACTGATGTGCTACCGACGCACATTACGAATCAGGATCAACTCGAAAATGTCAATAAAAAACTAGCAATTCGAGGGTTATTTATAATTCAACTGACAATCCACCAGAACGACAAGATGGTTGCAGCACAGATGGCTATAGTACCCTAAGTTACAACTTCAAAGGTTCAAACATTTCAGGTTCACAGTCGATCAATAAACATCAATGTAATTCATGATAATTCTTCTGATCGTGTTGCACCGGGTTTCTTCTGAACAGAAAGCAACTGAGACAACAGTATGGATTGTAACCTCTAACGGAAATAAAGCTAGTTTGAATATGCCAGATTATTAGATATTCACTCGGTATTAACAAAGTTGACGCATTTGAAGGGAAGACAGGAGAATTATCCGACAGAAAACCAATCAGCCTACCTGGTGCTACGATAGATGAAATCTATCTCGAGTCCTTTTCCCTAAAAACTAGGATAGCAATGCAAATTCAGCAGGCACGAGCAGCTAGATACGGGCGACTAAATAACATATTCCTCTTTCCAGGTGGCGCCACCTGCTTTATCTGCAGGGTAGTAAAGCGTTTCAGTAAATAAGCCAGAATATGTCAGCATGATTTAATGAAATCTCAATAACATACGTCTAACATGTAAACTTACCACCTCATTTAATCCACTACGTTTCACAGATATTACTGTCAAGAAACATTTCCCATAAAGTGGAGCAAATTTAACGAGGTTCAAGAGTTTGATGGCACTGATGAAAACATTTAACAGTAATTTTCATTTAAAGATTATGAAAATATAACTTGTCATTAAATCACCGTTCCAATGGACTACCCGGTGCGCTCCCACTTCTTTTCACTGCGGGTTTGCCGTCCCTGGAATTCCTTACCGGCAGATGTAGCTATGGCACCGTCTTTGGACGCCTTTAAGCGAAGGCTGGACAACCATGCAGCGACACATGGACTGCATCCAAATGGCCTATCCCCTTAAAATCGCATACACCATTCAGGGGTAGACAATTAAACTCGTCGTTTTAATTCTTTACATTCTCTCCCATCGCACTTTCCTGACAACTTTAACTAAACATATTATTATTATTATTATCATTATTACCGATATATATATTATTCTTCAAATTAAATCAGCTGACTGCTGTTACGCTTTCCTATTTCCGTTTCTGTCCGTTAGTCTGAATAACTTCACTAATTATATCTATTATTATTACCATCTCTTTTCTCTTGTCGATGATACCGGAGGACTAACTGGCGAAAGGATCAACTCCATTCACAGTAGTAACAGTCTTAACACACCTCATACTACAAACCACATAAAATTAATCCCAGCACTACTCTTTTTGGAGTCAACCAAAGCTACGACAGTCAAGCAGAAGCTTACCGAAGATTAGGAACCTATACCTTACAATCAAGAAGCGAGCACAAAGAAATCAAACTGGTTTACACTAGCTCGTAAAAGCGATATTGGATTCTACAATTAGCTGGGGTATGCAGTGAAGACACTCGGAAGATACGATGCCATTATAGTATGTATGCAAGTTAAACAGGCTGAGGCTAAGCTTCAGTCCTCAAAGAAGGGCGAACCCACTGGTGAGTAGTATTGACACTGATTCTGAATCAGTGTCCCTTGGGATACTGACTATTACACAGGTGTCTGACAAAGTGGTGGGACAAGCTACGCAGAAGTTTACCGGAGATGAGGAACCTATACCTCACAATCAAGAAGCGAGCACAAAGAAATCAAATTGGTTTATACTAGGTCGAAAAAACGATATTGGATATTGGAAGGGCGGCAGAAATAAAGATGACGTTACGCATGTGATTTGGGAGTTAAGGATCTCGCACCTTGACATACCTGGTAGACATATAGGCGGTCATCTAACCAATAAGAATGTATAAATATCTATTTTTGACAAACTTGTTACAATTTTGTGAGACTTCTGGCCTCATACCCGGTGTAAAAGCCTTATATATCGGAAATGTGTTGTTATTCCTAAACTGTAAAACTAAGAAACCAGGATAATATCTGAACCCTAGGTTCATTTCATAATTTCTGTAGAGATTGAGCAACAAGTTCACCAAAACCGGACCATACGTTTGCATAGCTTCACAGCAATGGGAAAGAATAGATACAACAACCAAATGAACCGAAATTGAACAGTCGGCTTTTTCTTAGGTAGAAAGTGGCATATTGCAAGAAGAGCATATAAGCTGATATATCCACAATAATAATGAATTGTACGAGGTATATATCTTTAAAATTGTGGGTGAAGTTAAAGAATCATAGCCAAAATCAAGGTCTTTCAAATGTTGACTTTCACGAATTGATCAGACAGAGGGATGTTATGAAATATCGTTTCAAATCAAATCATGCCTACTCTGCATCTGCTTAAGAGGGTAGATACAGTATTCTATTAATTCATTGGGCACTTTTTCTGCATATCTATACTATTAGGTAGGGTTATAACAGCATATATGCTGTTCAAGATTAAGGTTTAGGGTTAAAGTTAGCCTTAGGAGTTAGAATGATGGTTAGATTTAGGATCAGTTTGGCGAATAGTGCTAGAAATATCAATGAGTCTCAAAGTACCATGACTTACAGTCACCTAGGTGAATGGGCTTATCGCGCTATCTCTCAATAGATCATCTGTGTATTAACTGGGAGACATTCTTCCAGCACAAGCTACAACTACACAGTGTAGTATCAAGTTGATAATATTTTTATTGTATTTTTCGACGAGTATGCGAATTGGGATTGGTTGACTTGGACCTGTGTGGTTTTGGCTATGGTAATTTAACTTTGCCAAATACTACACCAGATAGTTGTTTTCTTTAAATACTGTTTAATATCGTGTATGAAGTGATTTCTATTGTGTATATCCTTAAAATATGGAGGTACTTATAATACTTGTAGAAGCACCTATAAGTATGTTTTTGGTCTGCTTCTGTATTAATTAATGCATTTGTTCTATTTGTTCACAGAAAACTTACAGTAGGCTGTAGCATTTCGAAACCTAGTGATAAAATCGTATCGCTTCTAAACTAATAGTGAATTTTCACCTCGCATATCCAATGTTGTCATATTTCTCCGAGTGAACCATTTGATCAGTTTTTTGTTGGTGCTGTTACGTGGATTTAAGTTTCCTTCATTCTTTCGTTCAGAATTATTTTGAAAAGACGTAGGTAGTTAAAAAACAATAAAGCATGAAATATTTTATATAAGATAAATACAAGGTGGAAGTATATCTACAGTAATGCAATATCTTTTCGCATTTTAAGTTCTTGTATCATAGTAACAGCCTGTTCTGTGAATTATTTCTTCCCAAATCAACTATAGTTGACTTCATGAATTCATGGGAAGAATTGTTGGTCACTGCTCAATGTGTATTCTTAGTATTGGAGTACAGGTCATTTACTGACTTCACTTAATTATCACTTGCTTTTAAGCGTAACATGTAGCCATTTTTTATGTGACCATCATCCTATCCACTGTTTAAGCCTATTAGTGTAAACCCTTTAGTTAAGACAACTTGCCGTTTCTTCTCTTTATGGAAATAGCTGTTTTACTTGAAGATTTCAGTTTTTTGTTGGCTATTCACCAAATTTTGTAAACTTGTATGTGAATTCTTGCTCATTACGTGTATCTTTTTCTGTTTACGTCGTTCTTTAGCTGTTTCTCTTGTCCAACTTATTCACCTTGCTATATTCACAAAAAGGAGCTGACTATCAAATGATGCTGTGGTTCCTGTTGTTGGCTTTATTTACATTTGTCTATTGTGATATTGAAAAATTAGATAAACATTTCAATGGAAGTAAGTTTGAATAAATACAAATCCATTTCACCTGAAGCTAGACAAATGTGATAAAAATTCTATATTTAGCTTAGTAGTAGTATCAACATTTTCTTACGAATGTAGACTGTCTAAAAATATAGTTGGTTCGTTTCTCATGAGGAGCGTATGACAGTGCTAGAATGTGTTTTATAAAACTTTGGCAGCTCATTTGGAAGATCTTCAATTATAGGCAGTTAAGTTTTCACCTAAATATAACAGTTAGAACAAATCTATGTTATCATATCGCAGGGATGTTAACAAAAGGAAACATTTGAATGTGAAAACAAATAGAGATCTGCATCAGTCTCACCATATTACTACATTTATGTTTTCTGCTTTTTCAAATGTGATTTTTCAGATTATGTCAGGTTGAACAGATCCACCTGCGTGGAGACTTTAAATCGATTTGTCTGTCTCTCATAACCTGAGTTGGACTTTAGTTTCTTAAAACCTCTCTTGCTCCTTTTTGAATGATTTTTAAGCAGAAGAGTAACTGGAGGACTTTATTTCTGATGAAAATAAGCCACAAAATAAAAGCTTTTTTTTCAGACAGTTAAAGAAGAAAGTGGTTGATTAATACGTGACTGCAGATGCTTTGTGATATCTCGTGGGTTATCACAAATTCCTTTTTAGGAGTGTTTGACTTTAAACAATTGCGTGTTCACCGAGACAACATTGTGACTAGTGAGGAGGAAGCGTTAGATGAGAGAAAATGCAAGGATTTTTAGGCGAACTTCATTACCATCTATTCTCAAGGGTGTGGAGGCAGGGAATCTAAAGTTCAATGGTCGTGTAAAGCAACCTGTCACTTGTTATCCAACTGGCAATGGGATTTCATCTTTGGACGCTGCACACTGCGTTGCTTATGCTCCAGCGTGGATGCGTTCACTGTTTATGAACTCCCAAATTCGCTAAATCCTCGATATTCTGCTTGTACTTATTTTTTTTATCCCGTACATTTCATTTCTCTCCACATTTATGTATGCTTTATGAAATGTGACGATCTGAATTGCTGCACTTTTGTACGAAGTTCTACGTTAAAGTCAGTCAGTTGATGCTTTGATGAGTGTTTTCGTTTTAATGATGTCCTGTAGGCTCTTCTGGTAAAAAAATCAAAGAACAAATTTTTCCAATGTAGTTAGTTTGACCATTGCCACATGTATGCCTGTTTACCTAAAGAGGTAATATTTAGCAGCTGTCAGTTGGTCAGATCATATTCCATGAGTTGTTAATCCTATTGTCATTTTAGTTGTGCCAACCACTTCAATTTTTAGATTGGTAGTTACCATGGTCAACTTCTTTTATCTATATCTTGCCTAAAAGCGTGCCTGTCTAGTCACTAGTTTTCATTTTAAGTACTATTATGGCGTTTTACTTAACCTAAGTATTTTACAGTCAATAACATCAAGTACTTTCTTTCATGCATATTAATAGTGTTTTTTTATTTATTGTAGATCCCCACGTTCCTGATTTTGCTGTTCCAGAGATTCAGCTTGAGAATCGACTTCATTTATACTTCAGGAAGATTGATAGTAACCGTGATAACTTCATTGAAAGGGATGAGTTAGCCTCTTGGATTCACAAGACCTACGAGTAAGAATATTTAGTATTTTTAGGACTTTATTGGCTTTTAATACATCGTTGAATTCAATTGTGGATAATTGTGACTTTACTTCCAATGTAAATGAATTTGTTACAGCTGATTATATAGTTAATGTAACTAAGTTGACAGTTCATTCACTGAATTAAATGGGTTCTCGTTCAGTGATCTCAGTGGTTTGAGTCGTGTGTGTGTGTGGCTGTAGGTCACCTGGTTGTGGCCCACGTGGCTACAGAAACCTATGGGGGGGGGAGACTGTAAGTGATAGAATTCAGAATCATTTACTGCAACGCATATTCATCCACATCTTATCTTCATCCTAATTATAATGTCATGTTTCTTTCTTTTATCTTTCCTACTCATTTCTTTTCTTATGGTATACTATTTTGGAATTTCCAATTTATTGTGATTTTTTTCATTTCCTATTTGACCTGCCGTTATGAGGTGACACAGACTGGGCTACTGCGCAGTAACGGTTGGTGCTATGCTTAAAATCAAAAATTGTCTTCTCTTAGGATATCACTACTAGTAATTTGTGTTTTGAATTCATTCTTTGGGACATGTAGGTTCTTCAGTAATCATTTTAGTTGTCAGCTGGAATTACCAAAGTTATTAAAAAACCCTGACATGACCATTAAAGTCACACAGAGAAAACTGCTTTGTCTTCATCCTTACTGTTTGCGCTTTACTAGTATTTAACTTTTCGGATGTTCTATGTATTGTTCTTTTGTCATGAGTTGTTGACAATAAACACCAGTGGGTTATATACATTTGCGCTATGAATCCTTGTATATCTAGAGTAGTTTATTTTTGTTATATTTTTACCATCGCTTTATCTTTCTTATCGTTGCATGTCACGTATCTACTATCGGTTATTTTTTATATGCTGTTTATCTCACTGGTATAAATTTGGCATTTATTTTGTTTTATAGATCCTTGGATCGTGAACATGCTGAAAAACAACTTATGGACTTTGATAAAGATAAGGATGGAAGAGTCTCATTTGATGAATATGTCAGTCATACCTACGAAACTTCTGAAGAGGAATTAAAGAACTCGAAAGATGACCAATCGTCAAAGTTTATTCTTGAAGTGAGTATACCTAGGGAGCGTGTGATAGTTTTTGTCAAGAAATTCTCTTGCGAATGAATCAAAAGGTGACCTAGTGTCCGAAAATTTGTTATTTATCATTGAAAAATAACTTGAAGTGAAATTATTGAGCATTCGATATTTTATGTTTAGCAGTGTAATCATTGTTACCAGATTTTTGCAAATGTTTGGTAGTTACGGCCGTCTGTTTATTCTCAAACTATATGTGTGATTGTCTGGTAGTATTAAGTAAAGGTGGTAATATCACCTGAATTTGTAAGCTGGTGTCAGTTGAAAGCACAGGAGGATATCCTCGTTATCAAGCATTATACACCTCAACGTTGCTTGTTAACTGGAGTAGGAGTAAGCTTTAGAAGTATTCAGTGAGTTGTCATTGAAAGATATAATGATACCTTATTAAAACATTTACTGTTGGTCTATTTCGAATTCGATATTGAAAGTGGTCGCATCAGTTTATAATAATAATTGTTATTACTCGAACTTTGGTCATTACAGTTTATGTGGATAGAATGGGGGACAAGAAGGATTAATTACGGTTGGTTCCAGTGCCTCAAATGCATGATCTTTCATCTTTTACAGTTTCCACTCAGTATGTAATCTTCATTTTGGTTCTCCTTTACGCCGTTCTAAGTGTAGCGTATACAATTTTATTTATTGAGGTAGTTGAATGATGGTATCCTTCATAAGTTTTCTGAAATTGTATTTGTTAACTAGATAATAGAAGTGCTTCCTTTCCATATTTTCAAAGTCCTTGAAAAGCGAACGATCGCGTTTCAATTTCGCAGATAAAAATGGTGATGGCTTTTTATCATTGAGAGAGTTTACAATATTCCTTCGACCCGAAAATTATGAAGATATGGCCAACTATGAGTTGCAGACAAGTTTTTCACTTTTCGATCAAAATAATGACGGAGTGATTACATCAGATGAATTTACAAATTTCTGTAAGTTTGCTTACATTCATAGCATTTTCTCATGATAAATTAGTTAACCATGGTAACGTTTTTTAAACAGCTCGTTCGGTTTTGCAGTTCCACTGTTTTTTTTGGTTACCTGATTTTTAAAATTTACTGATCGGTTTCTTAGTAAATTTTGTTATTGAATACGAATTTATGGTGAATGTGGTTACTAAGAGTCTCCGACTATTGTATTTATCACTTTGCTTTTACTGCATTACTGATGCTATCTAGAGGTCAATATAAACCTAGAAAGTAAAATCACTGTTTGATTTGTGTGACTGAATGACAGATCATTGTCGAACTTTACGTACAGCATTCTAAGTTGCCACATTTGGAAACTGCACTCAGAAGAAAAGAAAACAGATATGGAATTGAGAAAACATGATTATACTTGGGGAGATATTCAGAATTTCAGTGATACGCTATAATGTACGATTTTTAGTCGTCTTACGAAGTATCTCCGGCCAATGATTCTTAGCATTTCGGCCAACGAAGTATGACAGACGTCTTATATGAAAATCAGTTTTTTATGAACGGATGAAAATGATTTATAAACTCAAAAGATTAGTCCTGTTGACACCTTAATTCACGTATAAGTTCCTCACTGTAATTGGCACGGATGAATTACACTTAAATTTTTTTTTGTCATATTAAAGCTTATCGCGGTGTATCACAACAGAATTATCTTCGTGAACAATTCGAACTTCTGGATGTCGATCACAATAGACTACTCACTTCGAATGAGTTACGACCGTGGTTATTAACGTGTAAGTTGTGGCAAATTATAGTTTTAAGTTATTTAAAATAATTCATGGTGTGTTGGACGGAATGGTTTTATCTGTCTGCCTTCTCGTATTACTGTTAATTAATAATTTCACTCCGTATCTAGATGTTCTGTTGGCTTGACACTTTCCGGTCAAACCTATCCATTTTTTCTGAGCTCAGTAATGCTTCATATTAAATTTCATTGTATGTTGCTTGGTTTAGCGTTAAATTGAAGTTATCATTGTTTTCCAATAATACAAGGAGTTGAGCAATCAAAGTCCCACATTTTCTTTCCACCACTGAAATTTGTCTGCCGTACAAGTTGTATCACATTTCATTGGATGTAAATCAGTATTGCTGTTTACTATACAAAGTGGAGTGACATTAATGCCATAGGATTCCGAACTAATTAATTTCTTCGGTAACCACAACCATATCCCTACTCCAGCATTCTGGATACCTTGAGTTTCTACATTTTTGGTGTCTTTAAATAACTGTGGGTTAGTTCAAATCCTTCTGTGCTGCGAGAACAAATGGTATGAATATTCATGGTAACTAACCGATTCCAAATGACTCTGTCCAAATCATTTGTAACTCTTATTTTCTCATAATATTAGTCTAACCACTCACTTATTTCCAGTTCTCCCACATTTCCCATCCATTTGAGAAATGCTGTAGGAGTTTATTAGTGCGTACCGATGAAGAGTTCGAAACTAGGTCACAACAACTGCCCAGTATCCCCCGCTTTTTAATGGTTTTCTAACTGAAACCACTCCGTGATCAAACTTGGAATCAATAAAGTCCCTGCCAGCCAACATTTGAAAATTATTCTAATACATTTATTTATTATTATTATTATTAAGACGGTATAATTCACAATAGTTTGATCACAAGTTGACATTAATCAGAGAACCATTAGGAAACTAGGGAGTACTGGACAGCTGTCTCGTCCTAATTCGCGACTATTCTGCATTACGCACCCGCCAGGGTTCGGATTCAGGACCTTCCGGTAAAAATGCATGCTCTCTGACCATTCAGCCACTGACATCCAGTCCAATGGCCGACAGATTTCAACTTCTGCCAATATATATATATATATATATATAGAAAGAGAGAGAGCTAAATCACCAACCACTGTCTTGGGCGACTAACTATGTTTTTCGCAGACCTGACCGAAGAGTCCCAAATTAGGACAAAGCAGCTCTCCAGTACTCCCTGGTTTTCCTTATAGTTCTTTGACTGATATCAGCTCATGATGAAACCTGTAACCAATCACATCCCTGCAAATCAACACTTGAAAATTAATTCACGATGGCTAACTACATTTTCTCTTCCCTTATTTTAGCTTTAAAATCAGCTGCAGAATCTGAGGCGACACGTTTAATGAATATAACAGATTCTAATCATGACGGTAAACTCACGCTGGACGAAGTTTTGGCTAAATCACAATCTTGGAAAGATAGTCATGTTGTTAAGCATTCGAGATCTTTGTGGGATGAGTTGTAAAACGAAATGCATTTGTGTGTATACATGTTTATTATTATTTTGTGCCATTTTCTCTTGTTCTTTCCAGTGATTTAAATAGGCATTTCATAATTGTATGTATCTGTGTGTGTTCGCACCAGAAGCAAATCTTATTAACTTTCTAATGTATTAGTTTACTTTATTATTTTTCGTTCATGGCTGTTGCATTTACTTAAATTAACTTTTTCTTGTTGAAAATCAATTAAGTTTTTAATTAAATACCTATCCGTTGTTGCTCACTGGCATTATTCATTATTTAAGAAATACACAGTTCTATTTCCCAAATATATACTCACTATCGTTATATGCCAGTTTACGCCGTCTTAGGCGTAGACGTGATATCCGGGTATCGACCAAAAGGCGGGTGTGCCGCTCATCAGTCCGCTCCGACCTCCTTTATGGCTGTGAGACCTGGCCATTGAGAGTGAAAGACATGAAAGGATTAGCTGTATTTGATCCTAGGTGCCTGCGCTCTATCTGCCGTGTGAAGTGGTATAATAAGGTGAGCATTATTGAGGTTAGGCGTCGAGTTCTAGGTAAACAGGTGAAATCAATCGATGAAGCTGTGAAATTACACCAACTGAGATGGTTAGGACATGTGTTAGGTATGCCTAGTCATCACCTTCGTCGACCAAAGGGCAATGTTAGCTGACATACGGTCAGGCTGGAAAACCAAACATGGCACCAGTCAATGAAATCTACAACAGTTAGTTTAAGCTACGTAGGAAGGTGTAGACTTCCTGGTTGGGGTCCTCGGGACGGTAAAAACCAATGGTCGGAAACAATTGGTGATATGGCTTAAAATCGTTTTTAACGGCTGGTGCAGATGCATCCACTCCTTGTGACGTATGATTTCCAATGAAACTATATTATTCTTCGTTATTACTATTTCTTTGCTTCACACCTCTGTTTACTGAGTGTGACAACTTGAACTTTCGCACATATGTGCTAAGTTCTCTGTCGAAAACAGATAGACAGACCGACTATCGTTATTACTTTTTATTCTTCAGTAATATTACAGCTGTGTCATTATTGTTGTCTAGAGGGATGGCTTCATGATTTGGTTGTGAAAAAGAAAGTTTCTGCTTATCTTTTATTCCACTCAAGTATCCTTTATATCACGTTATCTATACATTTTTTTGCATTCATTAAAGCAACGAGGCAAGAATGCTCACCCCAGTGTTCATGTGTTACTCATTATGCGTGTACCCATCACTGAGTGTTTGTACCTGTTAGAAATCTATAAGCCGAAATGAATGATGGTAATCAAAAGTGTATACTGATGGTATTCACCCAGGAAAATGTAACCAGTAGGTCATCAAATAGTGATGTCAGGGTTAGCATTAAAATCACAACTAATATGAGTAAAATAATTCAGTAGTTTTATAACATTTCAATTTTAAATCTAGAGATATCTGAAGCCTTATGGTAGTCTTAACAAGGTTGTATTTGGGGATAGTGTTCAAACTTGCACACTAAATTAGACACGATTTTTATTTTCGGGAAGATCTCACTGAACATGTCAATTCTGTCCTATACATGTATGTTGTCAGTTACTTAACACAAAATAACAGACTTTCTCATGACTTCTTCATTTTTCGAATGGAACATAAAGCTACGAGTTTTGAAGTTTCTTCTCCAGGATATTACTATCGGCTAGTGAAATAGGTAAGGTAGGAAATTGTATCAGTTAGGTTACCAACCCGGACCACGTGCGTGGTTGTCCAGCATTCCACCACTGAGCCACTGTTATAACTGTAAGGAATTAAATGAGGACGTTGTCGCCTTGTTCTGTCTGCGCCTGACTAATATGCCTATCTGCTTGTGGTACTTTCCGATTCAGTGAACCACGCAAATATCAAGAGACAAAGGCTGGCCTGTGACTATATTGTAGTACAACAACTACGACAAAGAACTTATTTTGGAAAACAACACATGGTATTTATACATTTTTGCAACAATACAGATAGCTAACAGCATTTGAAATAATTGATCGTAATAATCAATAACAAAGTGCGTGGGAAATGATGATATACCATTTATGCGAGATTAACAGCCGTTGAAATAATTGATCAATAACAAAGTGCCTGGGATCCTATCAGCCACTGACTCGACTGAGATGACAGCCTAGTAAAACGGAGATTGATGAGTTCAGTATGCCAACAAATCTAAGTGAAATTCTAATCTTAGTGTGAACATACAGAAATTCGATAATATTTTTTAGGCAGCGGTCGCAAAATCTTGATTTGGTTACATAGAAGATTGACAAATGATTAAGAAAGTGATTGGAGATAGAATCCAAAATTCAAATATAGCGCAACCAACGGACTTCTACACCTCGTCTAGTCTGCTTGTCGATAGTAAGCTCAGAAAAGAGTGGAAGTTAGCTGTGAGGCTAGCAACGCCATTTCATAAAAATAACACGGCTAACCAAAATTCAAAAACATGAGCCATTATGTTCCCCTAGGGAAACAAGGAATGAAACAAAAATGCATAGTAGAGTGCAGTATGATATGCTTCGTAGTTCCATAAATTGCTTCGAACTATAAGCGAACTATAGTTCTTATATTGTCTAAATTCGTGAATACATGTGGATGTATGAGAGATATTTAAGAATGACAAGCTACTACAATTTTTTTTCAAAATGTACAAGGTAATAAGACATTTTGTAACATCTGATGCATTTGGAAGTATTCAATTTATGAATACGTTAATGAAAACGAAACATCTAGTTCAGCGAAGAAGCTTTTTCTACGAATTCATTTCGTTTAGCTGTACAGTCGCATTTATACAACATTTTTTTCATAAAAGAGGGTGGTTGCAAAAGTGATGAGTTGTAGTAATCATAGTCGTTAGTATTAGTCAAAGTTTAAGAGAAGTTAAATAAGTGCATTAGAGTTACGCAATAAGATGAAAAACCTAATGAGTTGTAATTATGATGCACATAGAAACGAGGGAAATCTAAAATTATGTAAGAGTTCTAAGGAAATGCTGGAGTTATAAAGAGTTCAAAAACAAACAGACAATCAATTTAGGTTGGAGGATTCTATCATGAGCTGATATCCGCTAGAAAACCATTGAAAACCTGGAAGTACTGGACAGCAGATGTATGCCGTCATCAGTAGGGTACAGCAGGTCGAAGGTGAGGACAGTTACTCATCGAAGACATTGATAAGTGGCTGCGCTATGTCGTGAATCTGCAGAAGTTAGAATTCACTGGCTATTCGATGGGGAGTCCCAGTGGCTTAATAGTCTACAAGCTAGCTCGCCTTGTAACCAGAATGTCCTGGGTACGAAACCTGGCGGTTGTAGCGTTCTAATAAAGAATCTCAGACTAGGACGGAACAGCTCTCCAGTACTCCCAGCTGGTTTTCCAATGGTACTCTAACTGATATCAGCTCATCATGAAATCTTCCAACCGATCAAACGAAAATCCCCACACAAACCAATATTTGAAAAAATCAAGTTATTAGAAATCAACCAAGACAGTTGAAGTGGTTGAAATTTTGTGAATGCATAGATCCGATTTCTCTGTCTGAGTGACCAGAGCTTTGGCAATGCAAAAGAGACGAAAGCTTATTGTCTTCAACAGGTTGTTCTTCACTCTGTAGATTTCTCTGAAGGAGGCGTTTGTTGAGATGGAATAACCAGTGTTGAAAAGGTGTTCGTTTATTGCATTTCTTACATATCCGCCATTACCTTTCTGCAACCATGATGGATAAGGTTCTTGAGCCATTTTAGACAGGGTACGCGTCAAACGACCAATGTGTCTGGCTCCACAGGAACAGATGGACTGATACATGCATATAGAAGTGATCAGATGTTAGGTCGTATAATTCAGGCTTCTGAAGACTAATGGGCAACTGGAGAACACTACTCACAGCGTTGCTACAAAAAATTCTTTTCAAAAGTGAGGAAATTCTTCTAATGATATCGCAGGCTAAGTCTCTCTTAAGACCCACTTTCATGTAAATTTGTTTTCGGACAAGTAATGTTTCGTTTTTCTGACCTCCGAGTTTGGCATTTTTGTCAAAGGGTTTTGTTGGGTATCAATTTGTGATGAAGATTTCTTTCAGAACATCCAGTTCTGCTTCTAGTGCGTCAGGACAATAGGTGCGTCGGATCCATTTGGCCAGCGATTTAATTAAATTTCGGTCAACAGACGCCTAACTTAAGAACTGGTCAGCTGACCGTTTCAGGTGAATTTCCGATGGATTGACCTTCTCAAGGTTCCTTCGAGTCTTCTTGTTAGTCCTACATATGAAAGGGAATTTTGGATTCGTTTTCGAAGAGTGAATTTTATTGTTGGTTGGCAGTTGTCAGATACCTGTAACAACTGACTGAGGTCGCAACTGTTGTCGGAAATGACGGAAATGTCACCTACGTACCTTGCACAAAGCTGTAAATTATCAATGACTAACTTCAATCGATAGTTCGCGAGGCTTGCCATGGATGCATCCAATGGAGATCCTATTTCAGTCCCGTCCTTTTGCCTGTAAATGGTGTCACTGAAAGTGAACTGTACATTAACAGTACACTTCAGAAGCAGTTCTCTAAAATACTCTGTTAGTATTCCAAAGTTTGGTCATCTTCTATATGTTTACACTTAAAACAGACGGTTTCCGGGAGACACTGGTGAAAAGGGTCAAAAGATAGCATACTTCTGTTAGCAACGTTCATATTTTGTATGTAATCGATGAATTGGAAGGTATCGCGAACTGAATAAATGCATACATGTTTCCTTACAGGTTCCACAGTATCAGCCAACCATTTTGCAATAGAATTAAAGGGGAACCTGACTTTGGACGCAGTGGGAGATCAATTATGCGTATCTTTGGTAAACCATAAAGTTTTGGTATTATTGGACCTATTGGTCGGATATGATCATAGATATCGCAGATAATTAAACGACCGGCTTTCATTATTTTCAAGACGTCCGTAAGCTGCTCTCAATCAGTCCTGTTTTGCTTCTTTTGTTGGAAGGCTGAGAAAATTTGTTTTGCCTGAGAGTATATTTTTCATTTTCTCTATATAGTATTTTCGATGGGAAAGAACTGGCATCTGAGTCAGTTGGATACCAGTTAAGGTCACTGTATGATATTTTCCTGTTTTATTAAAGCGTTTATATAGATAAAGCGCACTAGAACATTCAGTGAACGTTTTATTTGTCTCATTTATTTGTGCATTATGGATATTTTTAGTAAACCGTTTAATTGTACTCATAAGTAGTAAAAGAAATTAAGCATAATTGGAAGCGTTAAGCCCACATTTTATGTATCAGGTTGATACAAATGTA